TTGTCGTGGATCGGGTAGTTGCGCTCAGCTGCCTGCAGTTTGCGTGACTCGTAGGCTATCGCCTGCAGCCCGTTCCCGAAATCCTGAAGAAGCACAGCTCCGATGGCGAAATCAGAGGCGTCGGTGACGACTTCGAACGGCTTCGATGGGTCGGCGATGCGCAGCACGGGAGGGGAAACGAGAAAATGCTTGAGTTCCTGGAAAGCCGCTTCTGCCTCCTCCCCCCATACAAAATTCCTGTCCTTGTGCAGCAGGTCGGTCAGCGGGCCGGTAATCCCTGCCATATTCAGGATAAACCGCCTGACGTAATTCACGAACCCCAGAAAACTCTGCAGTTCCGTGACATTCGTTGAGGACTTCCACTCCTGCATGGTCTTGATTTTCGCCGGGTCGATTTTAATGCCGTCGCGTGAGATGACGTGCCCCAAAAACTCCAACTCCTGCTTGAAAGACTCGCACTTAGAGCCCTTGGTGATGAGTCGGTTCTCTTGCAGCCGCTTAAACACTGCATCCAGGTCGCGGAGGTGCTGCTCCCGTGTCTTGCTAAAAATCAGGATATCGTTCAAGTAGACGATGACACATCGGTCTAGAAGATCCCGAAAAACCCTGTTCATGGTGAGTTGAAATGTCGAAGGCGCGTTCGTGAGGCCGAAAGGCATCACTGTAAATTCGTAACTCCCGTAGCGTGTGCGAAACGCAGTCTTGTGACAATCGTTGGCGAAGACTCGAATCTGGTGGTAACTGCCACGTAAGTCAATCTTCGAGAAATATCGAGCGCCGCGAAGTTGGTCGAGGAGATCGTCGGTGCGTGGGATTGGATAGCGAGACTTGATGGTGACCCGGTTCAGCGCGCGGTAGTCGATACACATGCGAAGCCCGTCGTCTTTCTTCGGAGTGAACAGTCGTGGTGCTGCGAAGGGAGATGTGCTGGCCCGAATGAACCCTTTCTCCAACAGTGCGTCAATTTGACCTCGCAGTTCCTCGAGTTCCGGCTGGGTCAACCGCCACTGTGTCCGAACAGTCGGCTGCGCGCCAGGTTCCAACTGGAATTTGTGGTCCTCACGTCTCTCGGGTGGCAGTCCAGGTGGCAGGTCGTCGGCGAAAATGTCGGGGTACTGTTGAATCAGCTCCGCTAAATCCGGCGGTACAGCTGCACATAGCTTCTCGATGTCCTTTCCATCGGTGTCAACTGCCAACTCGCGTAAGCAGACAGCGAACAGCTGCGCGCCCTTGTTGAAGTGGCGAGCTATAGTGATGGCTTTGACGCACGGGACTTGGATGTAGTCAGGTGTCCATGCAGGCAGCTTAATTAGCCCCTCGTGCGTGTTGATACTGCATGACCCCATTGTCCAGTCGATGACGGGGTTGTGCCGTCGCAGCCAATCACGTCCCAGCAGCACGTCGCAGCCGTCCAGCGTCGTTGCGAGGAACTTCATGCTGAAGCCGAAATATTCGCCGTATTCGATCCAGACCGTCCGTGTTTCTTCCGTTATCGCCAGAGGCGTCCCATCCACGAGGCGGGCGTCAATTTCGGGCAGACACCTGTCAAGTTGCAGCTTGCATTTTTTTGCGCTCGCCAAATTGAAGAGGCTATGGCTGGCCCCTCCATCGACGAACATTTTCAAGTTATTTTTTAACACCTTGCCAACGACCAGCACAGGGTGATCCACATGTGTATCCCCGTTATTCGGCCGAGTGCGATCAATTGCATGAATCAGAACCACGACTCAGTGGGGATGGTGGGGTTCGGGCGACGGAGCATAGTTAGTAAAGGGCTCGCTAATTACTGACTCTTCCCATTTCCCTGCTCCTTCTTGTCGTTCCCCGTCAGCGGCGTTTTCTCGTGGCAGTCTTTCATGTAGTGACCCGTCTTCCCACACCGGTAATACGGTCCCTTAGGAGGGCGGTCGGGTGTATGGACGGCGTTGATTGTGGCCCGATGGGTCTGGCCACGAAAGCGGTTTCCATCCCAGGAAGCTGCTCTCGCGCACTGCATCAGCGCATCTGTTGACTCCGCCAGCTGTACTGCTTCAAGAAATGATGTCGGGCGGCCCCTGCGAACCTCGTACTGTATCTCGTATTTGAGGCCGCTGATATATTTATCCAACCGCTCAGCTTCCGACATATCATCAACTTGGTCGGCGAGGCCCATAAATGACGCCGTGTAGTCTTGGACAGGAGCCATCTGCGACCATGCACGCAGCTTCATGCGAGCTTGCTCCAAGGCGGATACGTGCTCGAAGCGATCTCGTAAGGCTGCGCCCCACTCCTTCCACTCCTTCCACGAAGCGATCTCATCTTAGTCACTCCGAAGATCGGTTCTGCCACTTGATTAGTCACTGTTGAGGTCCCGTCTGCCGCATGCGTCACACCTGTCGGCGTCCCCGTTTCCAAGGTTCGGCGCCACCACTCAAGCGCTGCACCTCGAATAAGCGAAACCGCGTAATTAATATGCGTGGCATCGTCATTAACTCATGCTGCAATGAAGAAGACCCCGACCCCGAACAGCCACCCCTTTACTGTAACCGTCTTGTCCGTAGGATTAAACGGGGGCGGGTTGACGGGCTTGATCTTGATCGTCGTTACTGCAACTGGCGCTGCTGCCGCTCGCTGCCTATCCTCCTCTTCGAAGTCACGTGTGAGCGCGTCCAAGGGATTGCTCACCGCTTGACTGTTGCCCTCGCCTTCGTCCTCGGGCGGCACCTGACGCGCTTCACCTCGCGTCTGGCGCAGCTCGGCGTTTTCTTCACGCAGTGTTGTCACTTCCGCCATTAACGACTTCATGCTGTCCTGTATTTCTGCCACTTGCGCCATCAATCTGTTAGCCGCCTCCTGATCCATGTGCCTAGCGCTACGTCTGGTGGGCAATCGGGTATCCGTAGCCTTCAGGCAAGTGAAAACACGAACAATCGGAGTCGGGTAGGATTGAATTAACAATCCCTGCAGCCAACCGTCGTGTAGTCACTAAACTAGCCACACCCCATGCCACGAAACTACCCTCGGAAAAGCGGGGTGAACTAGGAAAGTAGCTCTGATACCAGGTGTTATGAGTTGTAAAAGAGAGTGCGCAGGTAAACGAATAACGAGACTGTGATTAACTGATCTCAGAATACAATGAAGGCACAGACTAATGTAGGGGCTAGCCTAGCTAGGAGGGAACCTCGGACGAGCGAGGTTGGGTGCAGGTTTGGCGACTGGGAAATGCCGAAGGCGACGCGAGGAGCCTCAGCAGCGTTGAAATCGGCCGAACGTGCGAAGTCTGAAAATCGGGCTGTACACGAAGCAGTCAACCTCGATAAGGAACTCGGGAAAATTCCTTACATATATTGTATAACCTCAGCATTTGCAACAAGCCCAGACACTGGAGTGTAAGAACGCAAAGCACGACTCCAGCGGGGCATCATAACATCCCACACCAGAAAGAACCGGAACCGAGGATTCTACTGTACTCCCTCCTCACATGGACAGACATGTGCTCCTTGGTTGGTGGAAGGAAACGTCTAACCTTGGGCTCTCCTCCACCCACCTCATCGAGCATTCCCCTCGGGAGGATAAGAGTGGAGAAGTGCAGAGCACAAGTTAACCAATCTTCGGTTTTACTTGGTGCGTTACGGTCAAAATCGCTGTGAGTACGAACCGTGTGGAAAGCTACTGTACCGCATTGGAGGTTGAGAGAACGAGCCTGCGTGACATGACAACCATCTTTGCTCCTCTCCCTCACGAGTCCCTCAGAAATGATAGTACACCCCTCAGAAAGGTGTAGCGCCCCTTCCAGCCTTCGTCACACGTCCATCCACTCATCGCAATCATACCTCTTACTGTAAAAGGAATAGCGAATCATCCACACAATCGAAAGCATTAGGGTGTGTCACATGTCTCTGGTCCGCCCTCTGGAACCCCATGGTCCTTGCCTTGCCCATGAATTATCCCCGCATTATCAGTGCTCCTGCAGCGGTAGATTCCCCCGGCAACAGATGGTCCCTCTGTCAGTTTTTGCAAGCCGGCATGTAGCAATCTGTGCAACTCCGCTCTACACTAGACATTCATTTAGCGCCCAAACGTGTTGAAGCCGTGCGTGCGGTGTTCGCTGCAGGTCACCAACACGGCTGGTCCTAAAATAATATATCTATACGATTTTGTTGGGCGAAGCCGCTCAAATGGCGGCAGCTACAGTCACCAATGAATCGAAGCGCTGTTGGGTAGCTTTTCTGGTCGTGCTGTCGCTGTTTGCGCTTGTGATAGTTCCGTTACTACTCTTCACCGTCCTCGTGGACTCATGCACGATATACACAGACGCACCAAGCCTGCCAATCTGGCTCGGAGCGCTTGCATCAAGCCGAACCAGCGAACCGTCCCGTACCGCGCACGAACAGGCCAACCCAAACGCTGACGTGGCTCCGAGCCAGGAGAAGTCCATCAATCCGCAAAACCCGGTAGGATCGGATTCGATTTGCTGGTGGTCCGGGGACCACGGCGGGTACAGCGGAGGGGACTCGTCCGGATCCAGCAGCAACATGATCAAATCAAATCATGGCGGATCGCGGCGGAGGGGAGGCGTGTTAATTTTCGGCGGGGGGTGCTCCCGCTGCACGGTGGGGGAGCTGTGCGCCTTCGAGATTGCCGTCAGATCGCCCGCGAAATGGGTCGCCACTCGCGAGCGGCCAAGCCTGGGGGGGAGAAAGAGAGGCCGCCGGGCTCTGGTTCGATCACGCGCGCGGGTCGGAGAATTAGGCTCGATCGGGCTGAGCAGTAGCAGCAGCAGCAGCAGCGATAGCTCGAGCGGGTCTGATGGCTGCTTGACCGGCGCGCTGCGGTCAGCGAGTAGAAGCGCGTGGAGTGATGACGCTGCCAGGAACCAATCGAGGAGCAGAAGCGGCCGGTCCTTACGGGAGTCTGGTTCTGTAGGTAGTGGCAGCAGCAGTGGTAGCGGCGGCGGCAGCAGCAGCAGCAGCGCGCGGAGGGGTGTGGGTGGTTTGCGCGAGTCGCTGGTGGTGAGGCTGATGGGGCCTGCGTTGGTTGCAGCGGATGTGACTACAGAGGAGGGTGACGTCACGCGATGGCGAGTGACGTACCGCGTGTGGGACGCTGGAAACTACAGGTGAGGGTTGCGGGTTGCGGGTTGCGGGGAGGAGGGGGGAAGGGAAGGAGAGAGGGGGAAGGGGTGGGTCACAAGAGAGGGGAGAGGAAGGTTTAGGAGAGAGGGGAAGGGGGGGGAAGGAAAGAGGGAGGGGGCGATCCAGGAGGGGAGGGAGGGAGGCAGGAGAGAGGGAAGGGGCGGCGGTTCAGGTGAGAGGGAAGGGGGAGAACGGGAAAGCTTGAGAAGGGGATGGGGCAAGGGGAAGCAGATGGGGGGATTGGGGACTATTGGGCAGGATAGGTGGATTTCTAGCTCTCTATTCCATTCCCTTCCGAAAGCTCAGTCTACTTGAATGTAACCCTTAAATGCTTAGTCAAATGCTCACCCTTAAAAAGGTGAAATTCTTTCCTCCCCTTCGCATTGCTACCCCTTCTCCCAACTCCCTGCCCAATCAGCGTCCTGGTCCAATCAGAGTGCGACACGTTGGACTTTGCTCATGATTACTTGGAGCGAGTCAACAGCACGGGATCACATGTCATGGCTCAGTGGGTCCTCACCGTCCTCCCATCCACCAAGTCGTTCACCGAACCAGTCACCGAACCAGCTGCTGCAGCCGAATCTCAACCCAGCAGCAAGTTCTTTCATGAGGCAACGGACGGCCCAGATTCGCCCTGTGACCATTCCATCCACGGCCGCTGGCTCTTCACCCCCCAAAAGCAAGCCTACACGTGGCAGCTCTACCCATGCGCGCACCCCCTCCCCACCACCTCCCAATGGGTCTACACCCTTCAATCCCGGGGCATTTCCGAGATTAACTTTGTCGGAGATTCCCACTTGCGATTCCTCTTCCACCATCTCTACTTCCTCCTCACTGGCAAGGCCAATGCATCTACTGTCAAGTTTCACGGAGATATCCGATTGGTCGTGCCACCCCCTAGCCCGGAGCTGCTGCCCCTGAAGCTGAATTTCTATTGGATCGGAGGGATCTACGTCGACGGGCCTTTTGGCTGCGTGTAAGATCAGCTGTTTTTGGTTATTGTGTGCATGTAGTGCATGTGCATGTGCATGTGTGTGCGTGTTCGTGTGATCGCGGGGGTGTGCACGCACCCGTACGTGCATGCATGGGGGGGGAGAGGAGAGGAGGGAGAGGGGTGTGGGTGAGTGTGCGTGTGTGTGTGTGTGTGCATGTGTGCCTGTGTGTGTGTGTGGAAGGGGGGGAGAGTGTGTGTTGGTGTGTTGGTGTGTTTCCAATCGTTGTCATCCCATCATATGTGGCATTACCTCTGAACCTATGACTCCTCCAACCACCCCTCCTTATGCTCATAGCCTGTCTATCTCGGCATTACCAGTGGCTTCACTTGTGCATACCCATATCCTGTCTGAGGCTCCCAACACAATACAAGTGCTTTCTCCTTCGTCTCATCATACCCCCATTCTCCCCTTCACCCCCCTGTGCAGGAAAAAGGGCATCTCATCTCTGCAGAGGCTCAAGTTCACAGACATTTCCATCACCGCAGATGTGACGCTTTTTGTTCTGATATGTCTCAGAACAATCATTCTCTCCTCTTCTTTCCCCCTCTTCTTTCTCCCCTTAACCGCTGTGCAGGGAAAAGGGCATCTCATCACTGCAGAGGCTCGGGTTCCCAGACATGTCCACCACGGCTTTTGAGGCGCCTCAAAAAACATGTCCACCACGATTTTTGAGGCGCCTCAAAAAACATGTCCACCACGGCTGATGTGATGCTGTTCAATGCTGGCTTCTCCTTCATCCCATCATTTCCCCATTCTCCACTAACTCCTCCTGTGCAGCAAAAAGGAAAAGCGCATCACATCACTGGACAGGCTCAAGTTCCCCGACATCTCCACCACAGCAGATGTGATGCTGTTCGATGCTGGCTTCTGGACGGCCGTTTTTTGCGACGAGCCCGAGAACGCATTTGGATACTACCTTCCTAACTTCCTGGAGTGGATTTATTCCAGAATGGAACTTGCTCAGCAAAAGCGGTGGAAGCAGGAACAGCAGCAGCAGCAGCAGCAGCCACCGCAGCAGCAACGGAAGCTGCAGGAGCAGCAGCAGCAGCAGAAACGGAGGTTGCAGGAGCAGCAGCCCCTGGGGAAGGTTGAAACTGGAGTGCAGCTCACCGAAGGCCCTTGGTTTCTGTACCGAAGCATTCCGCCGAAGCGGCTCAACGATTACTGCGATCTTGGAACCAACATGCTCATTTCACACTTGAACAAAGTCGCTGCCCGGCACTTGGGTCGATTCGGGCTGTCGCTGCTCAATGATTGGTTGATTGCGGCCCCAAGGCCAGATGACACGTGTGGGCATAAAGATGTGCACTACACTTGCTTCGCTGAATCTGAAACAGCTGGGAATGATTCGGTAGCAACGGAAGGGAGGTATTTTGGGCCTGTTGGAGAGGCCGTGGTGTGGAATTTTGTCTACCATATGTTGTACATGCTTGATTGATCATTTCAGCAGCATGGGCAGTTACATGATTATCAATGGAATGTATGCATGTGATTTGGTCGTGTACAGGATCTCTCCTCGCATGGCTTTGGGTTTCGGGTAAAGAGGAATAATGAATTTACCACCAACTTGTATGGAGAATACAACAGTGCTTTTGTTGGGCTGAGAAAAGCCCTTAGGATCTTTGCAGGACTAAATTCTGAGTAGGACAATGTAATAGCGGAAGCGTTTTAATGAGAAGTTTGTGAACCACCTTGCGCTGGTATGTGAGGGCAAGTAGATTGATTAAAACAAAGAGATACAGGCTTTTATAAGAGTACAAGGAATACGAAGAGATACAGTTAATAACCGTTTTACTATTGATGTTGCGGTTCGATACAGTGAAGACTCGGGCAACTGCTCAATAGCGAGTCAGTTGTTTGTCCTTGCTTTCGTGCTGTACTTGTCGGGTCAAAGGTCACTGACCTTTGACTTTCGCGTAACCTCCAGCAGTTGTTCAACCTCCGAGGGTTGACTCGCTAATGCTTCGATATGTTTCGCTTCGCTACTGACTTGGTGTTTCGACACGACAAAGGCGCTAAATCAATTGTTTCCAACAGCTTTTAGACTAGTTGTTAAGGGGGGATTTACTGTTCACTTTGAACAGTACTTTCCAAATCACCCTTATCTTTATCTTCCTAGATTTCCTAGTGCCACGTGGCACTCTACTTTCTTTGCCTTCTAGTTCCTAGTCCCACAACCCACTTTCCTACAATTGCCCTTGCATGCTATATCAACCTTGCTTGTATTCCCTCATAGCAATCAATTCTCATTCAACTTTATAATTACTCTGTTACTTCTTCGCCTATTTCACCAACACTCTCTTTCGCCAAAGTCTTCCGCCGCGTTTATCCTCGACTTAGTCGACCCCGCTAATCTTTAGCGGATTTAGGTTAGCGGGCCTAACACTATTCATCATGAAAGTAAGTACGCGGACGGTTAGTACTCAGTTCGATTGGGCTCAGGGAAGCTGCAGCGTCAAGGTAGATGGCGAGTTCCGGGAGCTGCCACAGTGGAGCGATGGGGCCACATCCTCCACAGCCATCATCAATGCTGTTGGAGGGAGTGCAACAGTTGGTGAGAAGGCGACTCTTCCTGCTGAGGTGAGTGCACTGTTAGCAGAGTTCGCAGACGTCTTCCCCGACGAGTTGCCCCCAGGGTTACCTCCCAGCCGAGCAGTAGACCATCGAATAGAGTTGGAGCCGGGGAGCAGGCCAGTAGCAAAGCCGCAGTGGATGTTGAGTCCAGCGGAGACAGAGGAGATGACGCAGTAGGTTAGGCACTTTCTCGCGCAGGGGTTCATACAGCCATCTAGATCGCCTTGGGCAGCACCGATCCTCTTCGCGCCTAAGAAAGACGGAGGGTTACGGATGTGCATAGACTACCGCGCACTGAACGCCGCCACAGTCAAGAATAGATTGCCGGTGCCGAGAGTAGAGGATCTCCTAGATGCGGTGCAGGGCACTAGAGTCTTCTCAAAGATCGACCTTCGTTCGGGTTACCACCAGATTCGCGTAGTTCCAGAGGACCAGCACAAGACGGTGTTTCGTATGAAGCAGGGCCGTCCCTTCACGCGTCGCCTGCCTCGCCCCGTTCCGTCACGACCGCAGCAGCAGCAGCGCGCAGCTGCGTACAACCGTGCGCACCCGCGCACGGTCGTGTGCGTCAGCGCCAGCGCCCATGCTCCCCCCCCCCCCCCCCCCCCCACCCGCCCTCTCCTTCCCTCTTCCTCTCTCCCTGTAGCACTTGGTGCTGTAGGGAAGGGGGGGGGGGAGAGCGGTTCAGGGGGGATGAGAGAGGTTAATGGAGGGTAAGAGAGAGCGGCGGAAACAGCAGCCATGCATCTGCAGCTGCCGCCCGCTGCTACCGTGGCACCTACAGCTGCAGCCCCTGTCGCCACCTTTCGTCTTTCGTCTTTCGTTTGCTGCTGTTGGCGCAGGTGCTGCCATTGAGCCTGCTGTGCCGCCGCTCGTTGCCGCCGCACGCCGCTCTCCAAGCTACCTGTACCGCATGCATGCCCCCCCTTTCGTCTTTCGTCTTGGCTAAGGGATTTCTGCAGCTGTATCTACCACTATTGCACCGGTTGCTATTGCTTTTGCATGCTGTTGCTTTGTTCTGCTTGGTGTACCCCCGCAGGTTGTGTTTTGCACTTGGCTATTCCTGCATGCAGTTAAGGGGGGATGTCAGAGTTGTATTGTTATAACTGCATGTAGTTGTAGCTGTAGTGTAGCATTACATTTAGCTGTCGGTGGTATACCTCGCTTCTCTCCTATTTGTACCATTTGCACAATAGTGAAAACCCCTTCCTTTCTTGACATCCTCCTCTCTAGTCACCTTCCTAGGTTCCTAACCTAGTCTACTTTCTGACACAGTTGCATACCGCCTCCGCCTTCCCGCTCATTTCCGCATGCACCCGTCATTCCACGTGTCTCTCCTTCGTCCATACACCAATCCCAACGCCACCTTCTCGGGCCGTGATCGCAATCAGTTGCCTGTAGCTGCTGACACCGACGAGCCCGACTACCAGATTGTCAAATGTTGTAGCCTGTAGTGAGGTTTGTCTTAGGGGGTACAGATGTTAGGGTTTGTTATATGTACCCCAGCCCACATCAATGAACCAACACTTTCATTCTTCACACAGATCCAGCGCATCCTCAGGCACCGTCGCCGTCTTCATGGGGGTGTCTCTTTCGTCGACTTCTTGGTTCGTTGGCGTGGTTACGACGCAGCAGACGACAGCTGGGTTCCTTCGTCCTCACTGTCTCCCGACAACGCTTGCCTCCAAGCGTACCTCCAGTCTGCAAACGCTGCGGACGTCGCCTCCTTGGGAGGGGGGTAGTGTTAAGGGGGGATTTACTGTTCACTTTGAACAGTACTTTCCAACTCACCCTTATCCTTATCTTCCTAGATTTCCTAGTGTCACGTGGCACTCTACTTTCTTTGCCTTCTTGTTCCTAGTCCCACAACCCACTTTCCCACAATTGCTCTTGCATGCTATATCAACCTTGCTTGTATTCCCTCATAGCAATCAATTCTCATTCAACTCTTTAATTACTCTGTTATTTCTTTGCCTATTTCGCCAACACTCTCTTTCGCCAAAGTCTTCCGCCGCGTTTATCCCCGACTTAGTCGACCCCGCTAATCTTTAGCGGATTTAAGCCAGTGGGCCTAACACTCTTCATCATGAAAGTAAGTACGTGTCAGCATCAGACAACCTTACTGTACCATACACTATTATGAATTTTTTCGAAAGTGTGTAACACTTTCTAAAAATGCGTATTGTGAAAGCGCAGCTGCCTGTAACGAAGCAAAGCAACGGCGAATTACAATTCGCCGAGTACATAACGAGGGTTGGAGGCCATTCGGCCTCCACCCACGACTTCATTTCAGAACTTTGCAGTTTCACTCCAATTCTCGTCCAACCACCTCGACCGTTTCCTCGCTAGAAACAATCTTCTAAGATAATACTCACTTGCACGTTCAACCCAGGCGCTTGATTTTCCATGAAGGGCAAACTATCACGAGTGCGACTGTAACTGGCGGGCGCTCAACTGAGATCGAAGTGCGTCGGACAAAACGCCAACAGGCGCGCCAGAGACGAAATCGCAGTGGCGCGCGCTAGGGACGAAATCGCCAATGGCGCCAGTGGCGCACGATTGGGACGAAATCGCCACTGGCGCCAGTGGCGCGCACCAGGGACGAAATCGACACTGGCGCCAGTGGCGCGCGCCAGGGACGAAATCGCCACTGGCGCAAGTGCCGCGCACCAGGGACGAAATCGCCACACGCGCGCATGTGGCGAAATCGCCACCAGCGCTCGAGGGACGAAATGGCCGCTGGAGCGGCAGTTACGAAATTGCTACTGCAGCGCCTAAGTCGTTTGACTGGGCGTCATTTGTTGCCTACGTGCTGCAAGTCTTTTAAGTTTTAAGTTTTTCTTCCGTTATGATCTCTTTGATTATTTTCCATTAATCTCTATGCTCCTATTGTTACTTGGTGGCAGAAAAATATGCTCAACACCACGGGTGTGGAAAGACATTTTTAAAGACTCTACTGGTCGCGCGGGAGAACTACATTTACGACAGGATCAACTCAACGCGCACCCAAGGACGTCTCCCAATAAAAAGAAGGGACCGAGGGTCTTCGTGTGGCCTGAGAGCCGTCCCCCAGGGGGGGAAGGGGACCGAGGGTCCCCGTGTGGCCTGAGAGCCGTCCCCCAGGGGGGGAAGGGGACCGAGGGTCCCCGTGTGGCCTGAGAGCCGTCCCCCAGGGGGGGAAGGGGACCGAGGGTCCCCGTGTGGCCTGAGAGCCGTCCCCCAGGGGGGGAAGGGGACCGAGGGTCCCCGTGTGGCCTGAGAGCCGTCCCCCAGGGGGGGAAGGGGACCGAGGGTCCCCGTGTGGCCTGAGAGCCGTCCCCCAGGGGGGGGCGGGGACCGAGGGTCCCCGTGTGGCCTGAGAGCCGTCCCCCAGGGGGGCAAGGGGACCGAGGGTCCCCGTGTGGCCTGAGAGCCGTCCCCCAGGGGGGGAAGGGGACCGAGGGTCCCCGTGTGGCCTGAGAGCCGTCCCCCAGGGGAGGGAAGGGGACCGAGGGTCCTAGCATGGCCTGAGAGCCGTCCCCCAGGGGGGAAGAGACTCGAAGGTCCACACGTTGGCCTTACCGTAAAATGGGCAAAAATTTCGAACAATGTGCTCGTTTGTATGACTGGATCATCCTTGGTTTTTGATGTACCCCATTTACTTTTTAATATGACCAATAAAGGCTGGTTGGAGCCCCACTGAAATCTCGGGAAGCAACTGTTCGAGTGCACCTCAAGTTGGTTTTAAAATCTTGACTTGACTCAAGTTGGTGTTGACACACTTTTAAACCACATTCCGTGTTTTTCCAAATAAGGGCAATGACAATGGGATCGGTTTTCGCCATCATTCACATCCCACTTTGTTCGATAACACCCGACAGGGAAGCAAAAGCACGCGTTGAAACGACTTGCATGCTGTCACCTGAATGGGCGTTTGGGAGTAAAAGGCGGCAATTGTGTGACCGTTCCTACCCAACCAACATGACGAATACCACACTCACCCGACTACCACTTCAAACCCTTACATCCACCCACGTTGTACTTATTCCGGCCGGAACATCAAACGACTGGAAGTGTAGGGTAAAGCAGAGCACATGGAAGCTAAATCCCAAGATAAAAGTTGTACCGTACATTGGGCGTGTAGAGTACGGGAACCACCAGTTTCAACCACTATCCTGGTGCACCAACAACCAGGGACATCCACATCAACAGCACGAGCAACCTTCGCGCACAGCACCTCGGACGCCATCGACATGGAGCCCACGACTCACCAACGCCGCCCCTCCCGGCATTTCGTCAATGTTATCAACCGCAACTACACTCACCACGTCTTCAACGTACCAGCTGCACATGTCTCAGAAGACCCAATTGTAATGAAGCCAGTTGCCTTTGCAAGAACAGAAAGCAAGCTTTCTCAATATACAATACAATGTACATCCCTGTTAGTGAACAGCTAAGCTTTATTTCATAAGTGATGTTGCAGCGACTAGTTATCATGTTTCAAACTACTCCACCCTAATACTAACATGTAACAAACGTTCTGAACTTTATCCCTTTCTTGCATCCAACTGTGCTTGCAAAGAATAGGCTTACACATGTTTCTTCCACCTTAAAGGTATACCTGCCAACGGGGAATACATCAATGGATGAGTAAACAGTTGTTCATGTACTAGTACGCTTCATCTAGCTCTTAACTCATACCACAACACATGAACATAGAGAATAGCAGTGCGAGATAAGAGAGTGCAAGCAAGCACAAGCACAGAAGAGTCAACCCACATTGGACCAGTGTACTATGAGCTTCATGCTCTCAATTTAGAAGGTAAACATAGTGGGGGGAAATTACCTTCCAAAAAGAGAGGTTGGGGCGAGCATGGTTCCTCGCTGGGAGTTCTTAACACACCCCTCGTAATCCCCCTCGTCCGCGCCATTGTACTGATACACACCCGCCTTGGTGTTCCATATAAACACTGCAAGTTCAGAGACATACACGCAAGGCACATTGTTGACTTCAGCGAGAGCCTTCCACCTTTTCATGTTGCCCACGCGCGCTCCACGGGATGACTTACGAGTCGACTGGAAAATCCATTTTTGGTCACTCTAGGCGACCAAACTCACGTACCAAACTCGTCAGCAATCTTGACTTCAGAACGCGCCTTACATCTCTTCATATTGCCCATGCTCCACGTTTTCACTTTCAAGTCGACTCAAGAAACATTCTAGACCACTTTACGTGTCGTAGCTGTCACGTACCAAACTCGTCTCCAACTTTAACTTCAGCGGGGGCCTTCCATTTCTTCATGTTGCGCACGCTCCATGGGTTCATTTGCTTCTTGTTCCACGTGGATTGCTTCGTAAGCTTCATCCCGCCCCCAACATAGTACCTCGTGGCCTGGATAAGTTAGCGGGATAGGGAACAAGCAACAGATTAGGGAAAAGCGAGGGGGAGAGAGGGAAGGAGTGGGTTGCTTTGTATGCTTTGTAAGCTTCATCCCGCCCCCCACATAGTACGTCGTGGACTGAACGGGTTCGCGCGATAGGGAGGGAGAGGGGGAGAGAGAGAGAGAGAGAGGGGGAGAGGGGGGGAGAGAGAAAGAGAGAGAGAGAGAGAGAGAGAGAGAGAGAGAGGGGGAGAGGGGGGGAGAGAGAAAGAGAGAGAGAGAGAGAGAGAGAGAGAGAGAGAGAGAGAGAGAGAGAGGGAGAGGGGAGAGGGGGAGAGAGAGAGAGAGAGAGAGAGAGAGAGAGAGAGAGAGAGAGAGAGGGAATGAGTGGATTGCTTTGTTAGCTTGATCCCACCCCTCACATAGTACGTCGTGGCCTGAACGAGTTAAGGGATAGAGAGCAACCGAAAGATCCCGAGGAGCGGAAGATGGAAGGGGAGGATGCGGGAGGGGGGGGAGGGGACGGGGAGGGGGGGGGGGGGGGGGGGGGGGGAGGGGGAAATGGAGACGTCATTAGAGGCGTCTGAAAAGCTTCGCGTGCTAGGTTCTAACCTGATCGGGTTCAGGCGATAAGGACAGAAGGACTTTAGTTCTAGAACTAAAGTAGGCGGTTGGAGAACTACTCGCGAAAAGTAACAGGCGCAAGCATGAGCGAGTTCCGGTGATGGAAGCGAGGCGAACAGTTATTAAATGCCGAAGGAAGGGGGAAAGTTCGCGGCACGGAAGATGGTGGAGAGGGGTGCGTGAAAAAACGACGAGACTTAAGGGTTGAAGTAAGCGTTTGGAGAGGGAGGGGGAGGGCGAGGGGGAGGGGGAGGGGGAGTGGGGGGGGAGGGGGAGAGGTGGCGGGTGCGAACTGGATAAGGACGGAGAATCAAAAAGAGCGGGGAGGACGTGGAGAGAACGTGAACGAAAGCCGAACGGAAGAGGAGGGGGGCTATCCAGGAAGGCATGGGTACGGTTGAGTCTTAGAGACGTCTCAAAACTCAAACAGAAAGAGGAGACAGGCTAGCCAGGAAGGCATGGGTACGGTCGGGGTAGTCTGCTTGGTGTCGCTCGGCTTACCTGTGCTGTTAGGAGAGCTGAGGCGGCGCAAACGTCAGGCAGCACCGTGTCCACGTCAGGCAGCACCATGCACACGTCATTCAGAACCATGCACACGTCATTTAGAACCACGCACACGTCATTTAGAACCATGCACACGTCAGGCAGCACATGCGAAAAGCAAGCATGACGACGAAGAAGAGGAAAGTAAGTTTGACATCATCTTAACAAAGATCGCCACTCCGTTCGAGATAGCAACACGCTTGGGAGTCAATCCGCTTCTATGAGGAGCCGAGAACGAAGCGCGCGGGAAAGAAAGTAAGGGGAAATAATCGTCACGTACAAGCGAGGCCGAGGGCGGAGAGGCACAGGAAGAGCGTTAGACGATGCAGCGACATGGTGGCAGCGCCTTTCAAGGGTGAATTTTGAGTTGACTGCTTGGTACACCGCTTTTGCTAGCCTAATTCGAGCTGCTCTAGGACCACGCAGGAAAGTACAAGGATCGAAAAACTGGACGCAAAGAACTGAAGGACGACACAACGAAGGAAGTTCGAGCTGACAGAAACAAAAGTTGGCATGCTTGATTTGGTTTTGATGAGCAGGCAGGAGCAAGGCGCAGTACGATGAACGAGGGAGAAGGGGATCCAAAGTGGTGGGAAGTGCGAGCTCAGGGGTTCAAAAACATAGAGGCGTTAACTATCTTGTCGCGGAGTGATGGGTTCGCTTTGCGCACGGGGACTCGAGGCGAGAGGGGGTGACGTGCAGTCATGCTTCTGTAGCCAGCGGGAAGGTGTGCCAGATCTGGAGAAACAGCTGAAGAAGCCTGCGCTTCCAAAACAGAGAGCCAATCAGTAACGAGTTCAACCTGACCCTCAAGATGTTATCAGTCCCAAAGTTTCTCTTGGGGCAGTCACTCATATTGTCTGATTTCAGCTACTCCAGCAATCCACGGCGAAATTTCAACTGCGGGCATGGATCAAGTGGCACTTTTAGGTGGCAAAACACTCTCGGTCAGGTGGTTCTGGTCAGATGAAAACATCGACTTTAGCCAAACCAGCTGATGCGATGTTTACATGTTCGTAAGAAACGTATTCGCGGTAAAAGCAACCTCAATAGGAGTAAAATGTCTAGGCAGTGCATCTAGCTTGTCAGGATGCTCTCACGTTCGATCTCTCACAATAGTACTAATAAATAGTATTAATAGTAAGGGTATTAAGACATACAGGTAGTAATATTTCATAAACATCAATATTAATGGTATTATGCTACTTATGTGTTGCTGTCAGAATACATATTTGACCCATAGGTGTGAGCGTAGGTGCTATGTATCGACGAGATAATATAATGTTTGTTCATGTTTTCTGTAAGGAAAATTCCTTTTCCTTACTTCGCGCCCCTGCTCAAGCGCGTACACCACTGTAGCACCACAGTCAGCACCGTTACCACTCGCAACCCTCGCATCGACAATCCTCCCGCCACCTTCGCACGTCGCACCCCGACCTCACGGCTCGGCGGGTAACCCGCGCTCCGGGCCTCTGCCTCGACATTTTCCCAGACCTCGGTTCCAGGCCCGTCGCGCGTCACCCACAGTTCATTACCGTTACCATTTTAGTTTCGCTATATATTCTTCGCTCATGCCTTCGCTCATTGTATTCTTGCTTCGATAGTGCAATTCTAGCTTGCTCACTCAATTGCACTCGTAACACTTGGTATTCAGAGCCTACGATCTCTTCTCGGACCGCACCCACACCTTCGCTTCCCCACTATCTCATTTTTTTTTTGGGGGGGGGGGGGGGGGGGGGGGGGGGGTAGACGTCTCTCAGCGACACAGCACCGCCGCTCATAGTGCTCTTTCGTAAGCACGCACGGCCACGACAGAGGCTCTCGCTGAGCTCGCCCGACACCCCCGCCATGGCCGAATTTACTCTCGCGACACTGACGCAGGAGCAACTCGACCGTCTCATGCGCCAAGTCGAAGAATCGGCGCTCGAAATTGCGACGCTCACGACGGAACGTGACTCCGCGCGTCAGCAATCCACGGTGAATACTCCGGCGCCACCACACGCACCTGCAAATGCACATGCACAATCGGAGGAGCCGATCGTCATTTCATCAGGCACACCGACACAGAACGACAGCGTGGGACAGCGCTCTGGCGCAGCCAGTGATGGCGCCGCCCACTCGATGCCGGACATGGAGAGGAACAGGGTCGCACCAAGCCTACGGGAGCCTCGTGAAGCCCGTCGGCACGTGGAATTTGCGGCGACAAGTGGCGACCACACCATCATGACGCCAATGCCACTGAAGCCGCAGCGCCCGCCCTGTTTCGACCCGAGCCAGCGTGGAGGTCCGACGGTTCAGTCGTGGGTCTTCACGATGAACGTATTTTTCGACGCAAACTACATCAAGTCGGACGCAGCGAAGATCAGATACGCCATCTCGCTGCTGAGGAGCCCCGCCATGGACTGGTGGCGAGTCATCGTGACGTCGCCACGCGCCTACGAGCCACCGTCGCAAGAGGAAGGGTCCACGAGTCCAGCCGTCACCTGGAGTTCTTTCTGCGAAACCGCCCAGTACAGCACGTGGGATGCGTGGTGCGCAGGGCTTCGGGCGCGCTTCGAGCCGATCGCGGCTTCTATTTCGGCGCGTCAGAGACTGCGTACTTGGCGGCAGCTCGGGTCGGTTCAAGACTACACGAGCGGTTTTCTCGCATTATGCGAGCAAGTCGGCTACATGCACGAAGCGGAGCGGGTGGACCGTTACGTCGGAGGGCTGAAGACGGACATTTCGCACGAAATCATGCTACGCGGACTCTCGAATTTCAACGAGATTTTCGCGCTCGCCGAGAAAATCGACATTTTGCGCCGTCAGAGACCGGGGTCCTATTACGGACATCGCCCTCGGGGACCGATCGAGCACGCCACCGTACATGCCATAGCGGCGAATGCAGCTGCCGCGCGGTTTAAGGGGCGCTGCTTTGCTTGCAATAGGCCAAGCCATCGCAAGAGTGAGTGCCCAGAGGAGCTGAGGCGCCGCGGAGCAGAGCAGGGGAGGGAGTCTCCAAGGCAGGGAAACGCCAGCAGTCAGTAGGAATCGGGCCAACTACTGACGAGACTGCCTGCTCGCCCAACTCCACCGACCCTCACCGAGTCACAGTACCGATTCATGCTATCGATCAGGCTCGGACGAATAAGGAGGGTACAGCGACGAATTGCCCAGTACTGATCCACGGGAAAATACAGGGAGCAGCATTGAAGATTTTTATCGACGGAGGAGCAAGTCACAGTTTAGTTAATGCCGCAACCGCACGGAAACTGCAACTGACACTTAGCCGTTGTTTACCTGAGATAGATGCACGCTTAGTTGACGGCACGCCACTGGCCATACGGGAAAAGGTGGAGAGAGTCAAAGTCCGCTGCGGGGGGAATTTCGGGTTTACACAGGAAATGCTCGCGACGACACTGGATGGGCACGACATTTTACTGGGACGTGATTGGCTGCGACGGTATAACCCGCGAATTGACTGGACGACGGGTAGCGGTAGCGGTAACTGGGTTGAACTACCTCGCTGGCAGTCACACGAGTCTTCAACGGTGCACGTCAATGTCAGACTATATATGCTATATGTGTTTAGGCTGTAGTGGGGTAGCTAATATGGGGTACAACCCCTTCTAGAGTTTCATATTTGTACCCAACCCTTGCATAGTTCATCCATTCCTGCCTGTAATTCTGACATGGTTTCAGAGCAGTAGGTCCGTAGGACCGTCTTTTTTTTTTCGGGCCCACCTACCGCTACCCCACGACTGTGCCTGTCACTGTACCTAGGACGTGCTACACTGCGCGCACTGTCTGAGCTGTCTGCTGCTGCTTTGCGCGCAGCCCTAATTTTCACTCACTGCCTCGTTTTTACCCCCGCGGGTCGCCCCCTCCTGCCCGAATCGCGCCTCGGCAGCCGAGTCGCGTCCCGCGCACGGCCCGCGCAGCCCGCGTCGAGCCCGCGCAGCGCGCGCGCGGCCCGCAGCTGCCCCGCGCAGCCCGTCCCGAGCCCGCGCGACGCTCGCACGGCCCGCAGCTGCCCCACGCAGCCCGTCCCGAGCCCGCGCGACGCGCGCGCGGTCCGCCGCTGCCCCGCGCAGCCCGCCCCAAGCCCGCGCGGCGCATCCGCGGCCCGCAGCGCGCTGTGCGCCGTCCGCGCAGCCCGCGCCGCGCCCTACCCGCCAGTGCGCGGCCCCAGGCAGCGGCGCGCGCCACCCTACCGCCGCCACGGCCCTGCCCTGCCGCCGACATGGCCCCACCCTGCCGCTGACACGACCCGGCCCCGCCGCTGACACGACCCGGCCCCGCCGCTGACACGACCCGGCCCTGCCCTGCCGCTGACACGACCCGGCCCCGCCGCTGACACGACCCGGCCCTGCCCTACCGCCGACACGGCCCCGCCCTGCCGCTGACACGACCCGGCCCCGCCCTGCCGCTGACTCGACCCGGCCCTTCGCTGTAGCCGCTGCCGCGGCCCCGCTGTCGCCGCCATCGTGCGCCGACCCTGCCACCGTCCGCCGAGCACCGGCCCTACTCGCCCGGTGAGAGCCTGCTCTTCCCGCCACTGGTGAGCACCTGCCTTGATAGCGCGCTGCCGCGTCGCCTGCCTGCCTGCCTGCCTGCCTGCCTGCCGGCCTGCCTGCCTGCCTGCCTGCCTGCCGGCCTGCTTGCTTGCCTGCCGGCCTGCCTGCCTACCTGCCTGCCTGTCGCGCCTGCCCTACTGCTACGGCTGTTACTGCTACTACTCCTGCTCCTGCTGCTACTGACGGAGGCCAGATGCAGCCCCAGCGACGTCCGCGTGAGTCCCTCACGCCCCAGCAGCTGCGTGAGTGGTACGCTAGTTGGGGTTGTAGGGGTGGCCGCGCTGCTACTGCTGCCACTACTGCTGCTGCTGCTACTGGCGGCGGCCAGATGCAGCTCCAGCGACGTCCACGCGAGTCTCGCACGCCCCAGCAGCTTCGTGAGTGGTACGCTCAGAGTAGAGGGTCTCTCAGTTCTGTTC